TTCTGTGAAATTGTGATGCCGATTTAATCCATACATATTCCGCAAATATATCTCAAATAGTCATACGAAATCACACACTTCCGTACAGGTAAAATACATTACATTGAAATCAGAGTTATTAAAGAATGTCGAGTTATTAACATTAGTCAACCTCAATTTGTCTTCAAAATATACTGAAAACCTCCATTTTAATTTTGTATTTTGCAAAGCTAACATTATTTTTTTTAGTTTTCGTAACAACTCAATCTACGGAAATCGGTCGAAAATATCCTGACAGCATTTCTTGTTGCAGTTCTAAGGAGGTGCCTTTTTTAATAAAAAAAACTGTTTGACTCTTTTGACCTGTTTTGGTATTCTCATCGCATGCATATATTTAGCTAATAAATATTTTCTTTTTCATACTGAACTGTTATTCGAGTAACACAAAATAAAATTCTTCAAGCAAATCAATTCAAAGCTCAATATTTGCATATATATTAATCTATTCCGTATTTTAACACATTGTCTGCATGTTTCTTTGTGACATTTCTAGCTATTAAACACTGTACTAAAAGCATACATTCGTACAAAAATATATTTGTCAATATATACACTTTTTGCCCTCACCAAACTCATTTTTTAGCTTATTATTGTTGTCATTCATATTTTGTATATTTTTCACTTAACCAATATCGCTTCTGTTATTTTCCACACTTTGCTTATCTCTTTCATTTCTGTTTACTCCTTCCTTTCAGCTTGGTGTAGCATTCATTATTTCCTGCTATCTGCCCACCTAATTTCTTTATTTAATGTCGTTTCGTGACCATTTAATTGTGGTCGTTTTTCTGGGTCTCCTTTTATGTGCCGTGATTATCTTTAGTTGATTGTCCTAGGGAGCAGATTTGTGGAGCAGTGAAAGTAAATAAAGAACATGGAAATACTAATGCATACATACATACTTATAAGTATAACTGAGTATAGATATATGTTTGGTTAAATTTAGAATTGGTACAATAATTCTAAGGTCACGGTATATATATATGGTCAATTAAAAGTTCCTGAAATAAATATTTCAAAATACGAAAATTTATTAGGGTAAATTTCAATTATAAGTCACATTATAATATTTGTCTACGGATTTAATTTAAATTGATGCGAGATCCGGACTATAAGGTGGATGCATAATAACCTCCAAAACAAGCTCTCGGGCGTTCTATCGAGTCACTGTTGCCCCAAGCTGTTGTGTCTCTTCTAGACGATTGCTTTTATCGTTCGAGTTAAAAGTTTGAACGTAGGAGAGGAGCTCATAGTATGAGACTTTTATCCAATCTAAACAAACACACAAGATATCTAACCCATTCGACCACCATTTAAAGTTTCTGCTAGTGATTATTTTTGGTTTATTTTTTTCTCGTTAACTGTTGTACCAACCATGCATCGACTTCCTTTGTGCAACCAGCCTTTTTTCAAATGGTTACAAACTGTCCACTGTGCAATGATTAGTTTTTGGGCAATCAAAGCAGTGCTCGCATGACGCTCAGACTTGTAGAACTCCATTTTGTTTCCACAATTGACCTTCCACACCGTGGAGCATTTTTCATCAAAATTTCCGGAACGATATTGACGAAACCGAAATTCATATTATCAGACATATATTGTTTACAGGCCTATTCTCACTGTTACCGGTAAAGTAAATTTTGTTACTTTTCTTTAACATCCGAAATTGAATTTGGTATTCTGGCGAACTGGTTACAATGTTTGTAAAAAATTTGGCAGCACTGCTTTTTTCGTCCATGTCAAATTACATTTGCCAGTTGATAAAGTAAAAAGAAAAATACTCACATCGAAATGGAAGACGGTTAAGTTTTAAGTTTAAGTTTTATTAATTTGTTTATTAAATCACAAATATTTGAACCTAATTAAGGAAAATATGCCTGGACAACAAATGCACTTTTTTCTTAATTTTCAATGAATTCCAGGCCTAAAATATACCTACCCATTTTGGTTCTTATTTTTTCTGAAAATAACATCACAGAATCTAAAAGCAGATATTTTTTTTACCTCCTATTTCGCTGGTAACAAATTTTACAGGGTAACAGTGAGCTCAGAATACGAAATGATAACAAAATTTACTGAATGGTAAATTGTAATACCTAGGTAAATCCGACAGAATAGACCTGTTAGAGTAATCTCAAGCGAAATGGCATGGATGCCTTCTTAATTAAAAAATTATATTTATATGAAAATGAACTCCTTCTCACTTCTGATGTAGTCATTTATAAGTTCTAAACAAATTGTTTTGTTTAGGCGAAAGTCATTTTTTCTCGCAAACTTTTTAAGATGCGCCTTCGCGCACTTTTTTTCATATTCATTGTTCCACACGTAAAATATGCCTATCCATTTGAGTTTTTATTTTTTCACAAATTAACAACACAGAATCAAACTTATGATTGTTGGTTAACTCTTATTTCGCGGGTAACACAACTTACAGGGTTACAGTGAACTCAGAATATGAAATAGTAGCAAACTTTACTGAATGGTAAATTTTGATGCCAAAGTAAATTTTATTACCTCGATAGGATAGACCTGTTTGTCTCAGTTGATTTTTTTTTTAAGAATTCAAAACCCAAAATTGGTAAATTATATTCAATTCCTAACGATCTTTTATACCTAAACAAATAGGTAAATAACTTCAATAAATATATGTCTTCAGATAATAAAAGTCTGACAAGTTAACATGTTTACCAATTAATTTGATTTATGTCTACTTTGTTTTATTGTTTTGTCAATATCTACTCAATAGCCTGCACGTAAATGAAACTAAAAATAAAATATATTCAACATCTAACTTCAGATTTAGAAAGGATATTTTTAAGACGCAATTATGCTCCTATTTATTGAGAATATTTGCTTGAACTTAACAAAAAAACGCTGAGCTATTGAAGTCTGGGTAAAAACCCATATTATGGGAAAAGATAGTGGTTTTGTAGAACGCTTTGTTGAAAATATCGTGTGACGTCACAGGAATACTCACTTAATGGCATGAGTACATGTGATATGATGAAACTTCAAGAAGAAACTATTTTATAAGACTGCATAAATATATTCGTGCTAACCAAGACCGCATATTGGGGGATAGCAGAAATTTTTCAAACTTATATGGACTTATTTAATTCGAAATTAAAATAATTTTTTTAAGTAAAAAAAAATGTTAGAATTGTTACGATGTTTCGGTGGCGGCATAGCCTCGCCACAACCCAGCCGGTGGGCAATGAGATATTTTTGTTTTAAGGTAGTTTTAAAAAAGTTGCCTTGATTGAAATTTCTCAACATTGCTGTTAATTATTAACTGGAATCCGTAGTTGCCTTGCAGTAGCGCATTCTCTTCCTATCTCTTGTCACAATTTATCTAAGCATTTCGAAGGCCAAGCTTTCTGTGGCTACAATGACGGCTTTAGTAGTTTTTTCAGTACATATACAGCACCAAAGACAGTGGAAGCATTGGCTTTCCATGGTTACGTGTAGATCTTCTAAATCCCAAGTGCGTCAGTTTTGCTTGTCGATGTAGTCGCCGACGGGAAATTTAATTTTTTCGAAAGAGTATGTTTTTCGGAGAAAGTGCAATCTTTAAGACTATTCAGTGTAACAAAATCGCATCGAATGGTCATAAGGTTTAGTTATTGGACTAATTGGAAAGCCTTTGTATATTAATTTTAACCGAAAATTTTAGCAACAATTTACTCCGCAGGCACTGGGCGGTTTGTCTGGCAGCAAACTCGCTGTTGAAATTTATCCGCAAGCTAGCTTGAAAATAAGCTATAATTGCCGAAATGTACTTACTTCCAGCAGCGGTGGAAAACTTACCAATTTGAAAGTGAGTAGTCAATATTTCCCAAATCTCTTCAAGCGTAAACTTAACCATTTCGTAAATCGCAAGCCTTGTACCGAAAAAAATGTCATTAAGCTTGCGGAGCATATGAGATGAGGCAAGAAGAAGTTTAAGAATATGAATACGAGAACAAATAAGAACAAGAATTCGAGTACAATTGCTCATAAGAATACGAATACGAATGAAAAGACGGATACAAATTCGAATAGGAATACAGATACGAATATGAATTGAAATACGAGTACGAACAATAACATGAATGCGATTACGAGGACGAATACTAAAACATATAGGAATACGTATACGAATGCTATTATGAATACGAATAAGAATAGGAATACGAATACGAATACAAATACGAGTACGAATAGGAATACGATTACGAGTACGAATAGGAATACGAATACGCAGACGAATATGTATACGAATACGAATTCGAGTACGAATAGGAATACGAAGACAAATACGAATAAAAATACGAACACGCATTGGAATACGAATACGAATAGGAGGACCGGTACAAATTCGGAGAATCACAGCTACGAATACTTATTGGAATACGAGTACGAATTATTAACATGAATGCGATTACGAAGACGAATACGAATACGACTACAAATACGAATAAAATTACCAATACGAATAGGAAGGCGGGTACGAATTCTAAGGGGAATACAGGAGCGAATATGAATTGAAATACGAATGCAATTGCGAAGACAAATACGAAAACGAATGCAAATACGAATACGAGTACAAATACGAATACGAGTACGAATGGGAATGCGAATGTGAATACGAATGTGAATACGAATACTTTTAGGTATGATTAAGAAGACGAATACGAAAACAAATAGGATTACGGGCACCAAAACTATTATAAAAACCAATATGAAGGCGAATTGGAATACGAATAATATTAAGAATACGAATATGAATACGAGTTAGAGATATAAAATATTTTCTCCTTATTAGCAAAAACTTAGTCCTCTGTATATATTGACATTTTATATATGCTTTCAGGCATTATTATCGGCAAATCAGTACTTAAAATAATTATTTTCGTATCCAATTTAAGACTCACAAATAAGAACTTAGCCGAATTTCAAATAAAATTATATTTATTCATTTTCAGATTTCCGAGAACTGAAATGTCAGTGGATATGAATGAGATGTTCTTCGAAAGCTGATTTAAATAAATATTTACATAGAAAATGAAAACTGCAATAAAGTATAAAGACACAATACAACGAAGGTTATGATACAACCAAAAATATTTTAAAGAAAATAAAAGCATAAATAAAAATTAAAAAATGAAAATTAAAAAATGAAAATTAAATAATTTTAAAGTAACTAAATTATTTCTGTATATCATAAATAAGGTAACGAAATTTATCGAAAGTGCACTAACTTACCTTCGCCGTCGTATAAAAGTGCATTATAACAACAGTAAAAATTATAGTGCTGTTAAATAACATTAAAAAAAATACTTTTATATATGAGGGAAGATATAAAAATGCAATAAAAAACAAAAATGAGCTGCAGCTGGCAGTAGACTTTAATATATTTAGACGCCTGTTATGCAAAATTTATGCGAATATAAAGTACTAAAGTGCCAAAGCTGAACGGACTGTGCGCAGAAGCTTTGGCATTGTAGACCAACGAATTTGGTTAAGTGGCTTTATACGTTTACTACAAGCAAATTATTGTAACGCTTACGGCAATAATAATACTAACGCGTAAAATATTGTAACAGCGGTGGCAACATTATAAAATAGCTTACTTTTTGGCGCATTGCAAACGACGGCATACCAAACGCCGAAATGACCCAAATAAATTTTCCTGCGCAGCGAACGACAAAATCCACACTGGCTGCGAGAGCCCGGATGCGAACGATGCGCGCTAGAACTGTGAGAGCGACTGTGAAAACATCAAAAACAACAGCAACAACAACGAGAACAAAAAGAACAGTCATGGCTACGCCAACGGTCGGCACGACGACAACGCACATAATGAAACTGAAACGGAAACGTAAAATACCGGAAATTTCATTGCTAATTGCTGCAATTTGGATTAACAGCTTCTGGCCGTGGCCAGGTGGTGGTAGTGGGGGCAACGGTGGCGATGCAGGTGGTCGCATTGGTTTTACACCATTACCGCTTGCCTATTGCTCGCATATGCCCGCCTCCGTTGGTGTTGCCGCCTACACAGTCGACGCTGCACACATGCACAACAGCGATATGCATAGCCACCATAACTATGACGATGGTGGTGGTGGCGGCGGTGGCATGGACGGTGGTGGCAGTAGTGCCAGCCTGGAAAATATGGCAATGCATGGCATGGGCCACGACGGCGGTGGCATGCCGGAGGAGTCAGAGGAGCGCGATCACATCGCTCATCATTTTGGTAAGTTGTTGTTTTTTTTTTGCCGATCAATATTTTGGAAAATTTATATCTTCATAAACGAGCTTTGCAAAAATTTGAGGTTAGCTTTATCCCTAATGGAATTGAAGAGATATATTTTTAAAGTGAAGATAGCTTAGGTTATTCCAGGCTTGTATCGTATTCACTTGCATATACGAGTATGTGGCAGATAAAAATTGTTTCGTCTGTGCATGTTGCACTGAAAAACAGTAATATTTAAAGCACAATGGATTCCTACTATGTGGCGAGTGGGTGTTTGAGTTAGAACGTTGGGTGTGTACATGGATGTGTACATATGAAACTTGGTTTTTTTTTCTCCCAGTTTAGTGGAATGCAATTTTGCATTTAATATAAAACGCTAAATTTACATACATACAAACATTTTACTTATCTTCAATCCATGTCCTCACTGTGCGCTAGTTGAGCCTACTCATGGCTTTCAAAAACATAACGGTAAAAAGATAACATTGAATTCGCATTGTCAGTTATTAGGAAATTAAAAAAAAATTGTTGGTCAAATGTACGAATAATATATTATATGTTTACCGATATATTCATATTAACTCTACTAATAGCAAATAATGAGCTTACCACAAACTGCAAAGAATTCGGGACTAGGCCGACTTTTATAAAATTTCGCGCACTTAAACAACGGTATTAATATTTCAAGGATCTTATGGACATATTATTTACGTAGCTCTTTGCTCTTAATATTAATATTTAATAAAGAGTAAATAAAAAATAAATTTTAATAACAAAAAATAAAACTAAAAATAATATCTAATAAAAATTAGTAATAAATAATAAATAACAAATAATAAATAATTAATTATAATATTTAATAAATAATAAATAATAAATAATAAATAATAAATAATAAATAATAAATAATAAATAATAAATAATAAATAATAAATAATAAATAATAAATAATAAACAATAAATAATAAATAATAAATAATATATAATAAAAAATTAATAATAAATAATAAATAATAAGTAATAAATAACAAATAGTAATTAAAAAATAATAAGTAATAGATAATAAATAATAAATAATAATTAACATAAAATAAATAATAATTAATTAGTAATAAAAAATTATAAACAAAAAAATAATAATATATAATAAATACTAAATAATACTAAATAAAAATAATAAATAATAAATAAAAATAATAAATATTATTAATAAATAAAAAATAGATAACAAAAAATAAATAATGAATAATATAAAGTAAATAATATATAAGGGTTGAGTATTAAACATAAACTAATCATAAAACCTAGATTTTTGTTACCAAACTGACCTACTCATTAAAACTAAATATATTTTCATTATCTTCGCACAACTAATGACAACAATTTAAAATACATATTTTTGTATTTACTTTAAACATAAAAAAGTCACTATTTTCATATCACAACATGGGATATCCTACTGTCAAGTAATTCCCCGTTCAGTTTTAAATCTTTTTTTCACATTTCCTCTGTAACAAAAATGTCAACTAGTAAACAAAACGGAAAAGTTGTGCTAACACATATTCCTGCTTTTTTTCTTTGAATATTTACATTTTTATAACAATCGTGAGTGTGTGTGTTTTCTTTTTTTTTTGTTTTTCCGCCGGCAATTTCTGCTATCTCCACAGGCCACTGCAACCTAATTACAATTAATCCACTTGACCGCGCGGGCGTGTAGTCACACGAACGATAAAAAAATGTGAACAATGAAATGATTACAATTACAAATTTCATTATGGTGCAAGGACACCAATGCATATATATGTATATACCTGTATATATATATTTATCTGCATAAAATATTGCCCTGAAATGTCATTAATAAAATAACACAAAAAACGGCACGCTTGGCGCTTGCCCTTTACATAATCGTATTATACTTACATATTTACAGCACAATATATAATACGTATATGTTAGTATGCTTAGCGGCTATTGTCTGCAACGTAAGCGTAAAAAAATTGCCACTCATCGGTTGAATAAAATTAAAATTTATTTAAGCTGTTGTTTTATAAAATTTTCACACAGTAAATTCAATGTTCGTTTAAAATGGCTAGCCGTTCAGCCACAGAACAATGACGCAAATGTAATCAATGGAACCACAAAAGTGCGCTTATACAATTCAATATTTATGTATGTAGACGTGAAATATGTATGAATGTACATACATACTTTATACTACGTTTATGCGTTTGGTTATGCATAAAAGAAAAATTTTAAATTTAAATTTTTAAATTTTTTTTCATTGCTCAAGTGCGGTTTGTTGAAGAGGCGAAAAGCGCTTTTTGGAAATATAATATGAAAGTTGAAATTTTAAACGGTTCCTTCTTGGGCACTAAATCGATGCATATATACTAATATTCACCTTTTAACTTGTTCAGACAGCCTTAAATGTAATCAGATTTGGATCTAAAACAAGAATAATTCCTCAAGTAAATGATAAATATTTTAGTTGCATGAGTTCACTTACCACTTGATAATTATATTACGACATATGAGATGTATAAGTATTTACATGCACATGAAAGCTCCATTTCCATCAGATGATGATCCGACGTGTACGAGAACTGAGGAGCCAGAGTGAGTTTTTTTAAATATTTATCATTTACAACTTGTAGTTTTTTAAGCGAAAGTACTGCATATCTCCTCTTGGCTCTGCTCGAAGGATTTTCCTGAAATATTGCTTCTTTAGGTGCAGTAGAAAGGTGCGAATTACAGTTGCATTTTCTTAAGGCCTGCTTTTACCGGCCAATGAGAATGCATTTAATCCTATTGAGCCTCTTAAGTTGATCCGGAAGACTTATTGGTTTTGGAACAACAGGCTCAATGAACAAAGTCACTTGTCCTTATTTCTCCTGATATGCTGGCAAATAGCGCGATTCGGAACTGGACATTTAGCTCATGCAAAGTATTGTATAGGAGACCTTTTTCTGCATAGCTGTGATCTGTGTGAGTCCAGCCAGGAGAGCTTCTCTCAAGTCAGTTAGTCTTTCCATCCAGGGGCTTACACTTTCATCCCGTCACTAAGGATTGGTAAAGCGGAAGGAAATTGGTCGACGGCGTTAAAACCCCCATGCCATAGCAAGCCATTATAACTCTAGGGGGTGGAGTTACATATATTATTATATATATTATATCACATATATTTTGTTCGAATCTCGAACTTAATACCGAGAATACTAGCACTAATTGCTATGACTAACGGCTGTGAATAAATTTAAAATATTCGAGCTCATGGAGAAAATGAAATGCATTCTGAAAAAACTGTTTTCCAATATTTAATTCTCTAAAGAATATAAAAAAAGAATTTTACATTTTCTTCAAAAGAACTTTGTTTACTATTGAACTGCTCACTTCATATGCTTATGTAAGAAGTAAATATATATATGCAAGTACATATATATATGTACTTGTTTATGTGCATGCATTTAAGATAATTTACTATTTGCAAATAAAAAGCTTGAACTACTTTAAGTAGCCGACCAGCCCTGACTTTCCAGTCAGTAGTTGGCGACAGAAAGAGAGAGAGAGGGAGAGATGCAGATTTACAAACAGAAACGCTTTTGGTTGAAGTAAACTCTCACATGGACAAAGGTCAAGCAACTTATACAAGCATTGCAAAGCGTCACGAGATGTCAAAAACTTTTCACAGCTTGCATGAGTAGTAAAAATTTTGTTCGAACAATTTATTTAAACTTTTATATGAATCTTTCTTAAGTTGACAAACAAACATTTATTGGTTGAAGGAGCAGAAATATTTCGTTGATATTTCTACGAGCACTAGTCTTGTACCTCAAGCAATATACATGCAAAAGTATATCTTGAAAAAAAATATAGTAAGAAGTTTAAAATTGAATTAATTTGGCACAAGTAAATGTCTACTTTTAATATTTTTAATTTTTTAGGAAATAGTATTTTTGAGTGATTGAAAATTTCTCAATATTAATTATAAAACAGAATAAAATACAATAAAATATATATAATAAAATGAAATAAAAGAAAATTAATATAAAAGAAGTTAAAATAAAATATAAAAACATAAAATAAAATGAAATATATTAAAAAAAATTAAAAGAAATAAAATAAAACAAAAAAAAATTAAATAAACTAAAATAATATAAAATAAAATAAAATAATTTAAAATAAAAAAAGATAAAACAAAATAAAATAAAATAAAAATAAATTATTATTATTAAATAATAATAAAATAAATTAACTAAAACAAACTAAATATAATAAAATAAAATAAATTAAAATAAAATGAAACAAAATAATAAAAAATAAATTAATATAAAAAGAAAATAAAATAATCTAAAGTAAAGCAAAATCAAATAAAACAGCGTAAAATAAAATAAAAAAATATAAAATAATATCTAATATAAAAAATGAAGTAAATTTATGAAATTAAAAAAAATTAAATTAAAAAAATAAAACGTAATAAAAAAAGAAAATAAAATAAAATAAAATAATCTAAAGTAAGGCAAAATCAAATTAAACAGCGTAAAATAAAATAAAAAAATATAAAATAATATCTTATATAAAAAATGAAATAAATTTATAAAATTAAAAAAAAAATTAAATTAAAAAAATAAAACGTAATAAAAAAAGAAAATTAAATAAAAAAATACAAAGTTTGAAAAAAAGAATTTTAAAATAAAATACAGCAATTTAACTCAATATCAAAATATTGAAATAAAATACAAAATATTTAATAAAACATTATTAAACAAAATGAAGAAATTAAATTAAATACAAAAATTATGTTTAAATAAAATAAAATAAAACACGTTTGACAATAAAACATCTATACAAAATGAAATAAATTATATTAAATTATGTAAAATTAAGTAGAAATAAAATATTGTTCTACAATTTATTTTGAATAAATAATACCAAAAATAATACCAAAAAATTAATTAAAATCAAATAAACTGCAATAAAAAATAGAATAAATTTAACAA